GTGTGTGTGTGTGTGTGTGTGTGTGTGTGTGTGTGTGTGTGTGTGTGTGTGTGTGTACCTGAGGTTCATGTCCCCCTGCAGAGCCAGAGCCAGGAAGTTGGAGGCACTTCCTCCAGGACAGCAGCCACAGATCAGAATCGCCACTGCCGTTATTTCAGTCAGCTGGAAGCCCTGAAACACAACACAAACACACAAAGTGATGACAAGGTGCATCATGGGAGCTGCTCTGATGTCAGCGGTAGAAGTGGGACGTAAAAATGCGATGTGTAAATGTAAAAATTAAATCTTAAATTGCCTGTGACATGCATATCCTTCAAATACAAAAAGTCAGAAAACATCTTCATGTTTATCAAAAAGGAAAAAATAAGTTAAGTCCTCTGGATGGGATCTAAGCAGGTCCAGAGGACTTACTCATTTTTTCTTTTTGATTTTTCTACCTGGATTACTGAGATGCATCAGGACACCTTTACATTTAAGAAAGTTGGAACAATACACACGATTTAACCCATTTTGTCTCATAACTGGCATATTTTCTTTTGAACTTGGCTCAGCAAAGTGAAACAGGAAGTGACATCAAAGGGGAACTCTCGGGCGGTTCTAGGGGCGGGGCCACAGGGGCATTGGCCCCTGCTGAAATCTGATTGGCCCCCTGAAGTGCCTCTGTCCTGTCACTCATCTGTCCTTTGCCTGAAAGCAGTGATGGTGGCTGCAGTTCCACGCCCAAACACCAGAGGCGCTAATGAGTCAAACAGTAACGTCCAGCATGAATCAATCTCTTCTTTAAAAGACTTGAACAATTTTGCAAAAAAATATCTTTCAACTGGCAAACAATGGCTTCATTTTCTCACATGCTTTGAGAATATTTTATCCATGTACAGTAAACATGTAAAATTGCTAAGGAAGTTGAATTTAAGCTTTTTTAATAACATTACATTACAACTGTTGGGACATATGTGACCAGTTAAATTTGTACATATTTCCAAAACCAAGGATTTATGTGCAAGGATGTTGAACAAATACTTGACCCCCCCTATGAATATTGTGGCCCCCTGATGGCCCCTGACTCAGAGAAATCCTAGATTCGCCCCTGTGAACTCTTTAACAAAGAAAACTCTGTTTATTGAAACAAAATTATTTGAACTCTGATTCTTTTTCATCTCTGATAGACTCAAAATAATCCAAAGAAACATCAGATTCTTCTCTACAGTCTGGGTCGTTAGCATTTTTATCAATGCTTTGCTCCATGCAGACATTCCCCTCTGACATCACTTCCTGTTTCTTCACATGCAAATATCTCAACAACGGTTCATCTCAGCGACATCAAATTTATTTTGCAATATTTTATCCATGTCCTCTTTCTAAAAATGCCTTCACATGTGTTACAAAAAATTTGACGTCGCAGGCACTTTAAACGCAGCCTTTGCTGTTGACGCAGGGCTTTTGTTGTGACATCATCATCCTGCGACAAAAGCTAACACTGCTGGAGACGGCCTTTAAAAGCTAAACTCAAAATGTGTTAATTGAAAAGAAAGTGGTCCTGCAGTTTGAAGTGCAGCTCAGACGCCGGCTGCAGCTGTAAGTTTGATGTCTCGTAGGAAAGTGTTAGCAGCGTTAGCAACGTTAGCAGTGTTAGCAGCTGCTACGGTCACCGGTGATGACGTCACAACAAAAGGCGCGCGCCAACGTTAAGGCTGTGTTCCATTTCTAAATTCTTAAATGTGAAATGTGACATTTAGCCACAACATTTAACTTTACGTCTAGATTTATAGATTTAGAGTTAGCATTTAACATTTAGTACATATTAGCAAAATGTAAAACACTGAACTAAATAATAAAATGTTAGTGGAAATCTTTAAACTAGGATTTTACACTTAGAAAGTGAACTAAATGAAAATAAATTTCACTAAATTGAAACWGAATTTAAAGTTTTGTATCTGAATTAATTTTCTTTGAAACTGTATTTTGGTTTATTAAAAATTCAGTTTGACTACTTTCACTTTCAGTTCCATAATTCAGATGTTTGTGTCACATCCTGGTCCTTGAGAAAGCCAGGCAGAGTAATCAAACACAGATCCACAGATTTATGTTTCACTTTGGTGAAGTTTCCCTTCTGGATGTAACAGAGTTGATGCAATCCACTGTAAAAGTGACAAAAACACACAAAGTTATTTTACTGCAGTGATTAATTTGACCTATATGTAGAAAATGTTACATTTACATGATGACATCATGGATCAGTCAGCAGCAGCATCTGATCAATATGTGATCCATGATGTCATCATGTAAATGTAACATTTTCTACATATAGGTCAAATTAATCACTACAATAAAATAACTTTGTGTGTTTTTGTCACTTTTACAGTGGATTGCATCAACTCTGTTACATCCAGAAGGGAAACTTCACCAAAGTGAAACATAAATCTGTGGATCTGTGTTTGATTACTCTGCCTGGCTTTCTCAAGGACCAGGATGTGACACAAACATCTGAATTATGGAACTGAAAGTGAATTATGGAAGTGAACAAAGCAAATTAATTCAGATTCATATTTTTAAAATCAGTTTAAAATAATTAAATTCAGTTTCAATTTAGTGAAATTTATTTTTAAACCAATGTATTCAATTTCATATTCTGCACATTCAGATTCAATCTGAACAATTCAAATTCACTTCCTGCTGACACAAAGTTTATCCCATATATTTGAACTGAGGATTCTGGGTAAAACTTTCAGACTGGAGTCCTGATGCACCTCAGTAATCCAGGTAGAAAAAAACCAAAAAGAAAAGATTAAGTAGGTCCTTTTTTCTGTTTGATRCAGACCGGAGCTGCAGAACCGACCTTAACCAAGCAGAACGCTGTGAGTGGCATCACGCCAAACTGTGAAAGCACTGCGATGACCACCCCTTTAGGTTTTAAGATGTGATCCTGGAACACAGCAGGACACAAAAACATCAACGTTTGATTTCCACCGTGAACACGCAGCTMTGATTGGACGAGCTGCTGCTGACCTTTATCTTGGACACCTCCATGGTGCAGCCCAGTGAGATCATCGCGATGAACATGATAATAATGACAAAAATGTTGGTGGCTTTGTTTACAGCAGGCGACAGAAAAGTCACGGGAGGAGAGCTGACGTTGGTGAACGTCACGTTAAACGAGAAGTCATCTTTCAGATCAAAGTCCGTTGGAGAAAACAGAGTCGTTGTGACGTCCATGATGGGAGCAGGAACTGGAGGTTTCTGGGCTCAAAGTGGGAACAGATCAATCAAACAATGAAGAGCGTCAGTGTAAAGCCACGACAGGCAGCTGCATCGAGCCACGTTTCACAGATGATCAYTAAGATAAACTCCAAAAGGAGAGCAGATAAAACTGCACAGGGTCGGCCCGTGGCGTAGGCAGTGTAGGCAAATGCTAAGGGTGCCGTCTATTTAGAGGGGCACAAATAGTWCAAGAAAAATTGATTGCTCAAAACTGATTTACTAAACAAGAACTGATTGTGTAAGAATAATCATCTTGTTTTCAGAATGTGTAAGATTATTTGTCTTGTTAGTCTGAAAATTTGACTCWAATTAAGTCAAACATTTCTGCCAGTGGAGTAAGAACATTTTACTTGGTAAGATTCTTGAAATACTTGATTTYACTCAMTTTTRTTACACACACATGCTGCAGGCAGGCAAATTGCTTTCACCAGATTTACAAATTGTGTTTCACACTTATAAAAAAAAACTAGAACACGTGGGATTTAAACACAGTCTCTGGGAGATAAGAAGTGAGCGACTCCTGTGATGAAGGTGAGAATTACACACCTGTTCACAGAGATCAATCAATCAAACACTTGTCTGTGTTTCCAGTTCACACCTGTCAGGTAGTTCCCATGTGTTACTCACCTGCTGGGACAGGTGTTTCCTCTCCTCTCTGCAGAATAAAACCTGTTTTAAAGACTCGTCATAAACCACTTCCTGAACGCTGAGCTGTGCAGAGCTGCCATCCACGGCTCCTGCAGGTTGTGTAACTGCTCAGCTCGGGTCAAAATGACTCTTTATCTTGTCCAAGACAAAGCTGACAGAATGTGATGTCCTGCAGGGAACAAATGGCTCATCTTCTGGCTAATCATTTGTGAGATTTTAGAGTAAATCAAATTATTCCTGGAAGATGAACTGATGCTCGACGTGTTTTTCAGACCTGATGGCTTCATAATGTTTCTAAACGTACACCTCTGACTGTACGGGAGGTCACAACTTTATGCTGATGACTCTACGTGAACTGTTACATTTTGTAGGCCGATCTTTGAGCCTTTGTTGCTCAAGGTGATGTCAGCGGTAAAAACATCGACGCAGGCAGGAGAAACGCCCGGRTCTGATTGGTTATCGTGCCACACACTTTTATTTATAAAGCACTTTAAACAGCACAAGGCCAAACAAAGTGCTGTACAGTACACAACAGGACATACAAAACACAGATAAAACAGAGTTGTGATACACAGTGAGGCAGTTGTGTGTTTTTAAACGAGACATGAAGACAGCGAGGGAAGGAGACTGATCTGTCAAGGGTGGTTCTAGGGCCGGGGCCACAGGGGCATTGGCCCCAGCTGAAACATGATTGACCCCCTGAAGTGCCCCTGTCCTGTCACCACACATGTCAACTTGTACAGATTGTCTGTAAGTTATAAGGATTTTACATCATTTTGCAGGAATACGGACATATAGAGCAATCTCATGGATTTTTTCAAGRCTTACGGATTTTTTCAAAACCTCATTTTCAAATTTATCTAACATGTCAGAGCCTATAGGATGATTTAAAAACAATAAATAACATTAAACAGCCATCTTCCAACCTGTTCTGCTGCTAGAAATAAGTTATTTTTRCCTCTCTCCTCTCCTCTTTCATGTCCAGTTAAACCAAATAATGAGACGAATCTGTTCACGTATCTAAAGGTGCTTATTCAACATTTCAGACTCGGTTACACAAAAACGATAAACACATATTTAAACATTAAATTTGTACTGTATTACTGCATTATAAATATTCACAAGTGTCAAAGGGAGACTTATTGTAATGACAAATAAACATGTCTTAATGCCAAAAGTTAGTCTTTAATGTGAAAAATCATTTTTAAAACTTTGTGTTGATTATCAATATTTGAAATTATTGTTCAAACATGTAACTGCTGTCAACAATGATCATGTATCAAAAAAGTTTAAGAAAAACATCATGTTAACCAAATAGTCCCACCCCATCCATAGTGTTCAGTTTTACACTTTAAATTAAGGATCCTGTTAATATTTGTGGCTATTCATAATGCAGTAATACAATATTATGTGTTAAAATGTATTTCCTAATCATTATTGTGCTTACAAACCAGTCTGAAATGTTTAATAAAACAGATTTGTCTCAGTATCTGGAAAGAAACAAGACAGTTTAGTTTCTTTTTGACCTTCATTAATACATAATAAACACTTAATAATTTATAAAATGTTTACAGATAAATTAATAACCTTTCTATAAACTCTTTAAAAGCCACCAGGAGCCTTATTGTAAAGTGATACCTTTTTAAAAAAAAATGACATTACAAGTGTTTGAACATGTATGAGTGGTTAAATGTGAACACCTTACCAAAACTGTTGATTTGTGTGAAAGGATGCTGAACAAAGACTGGCCCCTCTGTGAATACTGTGGCCCCGTGATGGCCCCTGACTCAGAGAAATCCTAGATCCGCCCCTGTGTGTGACCTGCAGTGGTGGATCAGTCCACAGTGGTGGATCGGTCCACAGTGGTGGATCGGTCCACAGTGGTGGATCGGTCCACAGTGGTGGATCGGTCCACAGTGGTGGATCGGTCCANCAGTGGTGGATCGGTCCACAGTGGTGGATCGGTCCACAGTGGTGGATCGGTCCACAGTGGTGGATCGGTCCACAGTGGTGGATCGGTCCACAGTGAGAAGGATCTGTCACCTCTCAGTTTGAGATGAGAGTTAGGGACCTTCAGAAAGAGCTGAGCAGGTGATCAGGAGAGGGGGCGGAGCTGAGGGGGCGGAGCTGTTTAACACAAACAGGAGGAGCTTAAAGTGAATTCTGACATGAACCAGAAGCAGTGAAGAGATGCTAGAACAGGAGTGATAAGTTTCTCTTTTACTTGTGTCAGTTAGGTTCACGTCTGTCTTCAATCTACAGACTTCTTATACAAACTGTTTTCACATCATTCAGTCAGGCTTGTTTGCTTGAAAACAGATAAACAGTGTTGTCCAAAGTGTGGCCTACGAGCCATTTCTGGCCCCTGGAGTGATTTTGTGTGTCGTGCTGTGATCTGAGAATTATACATTTCTGTCACGAGTTTAAGGATTAATCAGTCATTTTTAGCTTCACCAAAAAAAGTCATTTTTTTTATCTTTAATTAACTCTTGTTTTATTTTAAAGTCATAATAAAAAGGACCACAAATCTTTACTGACTTTTACCAAAAAGTAGCTTTTTTTTAGGTAACCATTCATAAAACTTGACTAAATATAGCAAGTTTACAAACAAAAAAGGCAAACTATACTTAGGATTAAAAGGAAATGGTGTGTTTTCTAGATTATTTTTGTTTTAACAATGCTTCTTTGCAATATCAATCTAAAAGCCTTTTAATTTCCCTTTTTAATGGAGCCACATTTGTAAGGATCATGCATTTGTGTGATGAGCAGCAGAGCTGAGTATTTTTATTGTTGTTGACTTTTGTTTGGAGCTTGTGGACCCCACAGGTGCTGCCAATAAAACATTTATTGTTACAACAAAGGAATAATCCAGCAAACACATTCTTTGCAGCTGCAAAGTGTTTTTAGGTTTAATAAAATGGACAATATTATGTCGCTACAATACAATTTTTTCTTAATTTTATTTCAATTTCATGAACAAAAGGACCACAAACTTTAATGGATTTATCACACAGTAACTTTTAGACAACCATTCATGAAACTTGGCAAGTTAGGGGYAAAAAAAAAGACAAAATATGTGGACCCACAGATTAAAGTACATCACAGGACATTAATCATTTGTTGTTAGTTAAAACAGTTCAGAGTACAGCAAAAAGAACACCATGGAGTGAAAGAATGAGAGGTGAAGAGAGACTCGGTCTGACCAGATTAACCTCTAATCACAGCAGTGTTTCCCAGGCTGGGATTTTAACACCATTTCTGTTCTTCTTCACGTCAAGTCACATCTAATCAGTGTCGCCTGCGATGACTTCCCTTCAGCCTGAAGTCTGGAGCATAAAACACCTCATCACTCAGCTCAGGGCGAAGGGAAATAACATTAAGGGTGCAAAGAAGTGGTTATTTCCTCTTTGATAATCATATTTTTGTGAAACAGGTTTTTGGATATTTGAATGGAATTGTTGCACAACTAAAGCCAGGTGGTTTCTTGATGTCACAAAGAGAAAAAGCTTCTCTGCATCAGATGCATTATTAAAACCTGGCCTTATTCTGGTTTCATGTTTTACAGTCGGTCCTCGTGCTGCAGGTTAAACCACATCATCCTGTCAAACAGTGTGGATTCAAAACGAAGAGGCAAAGCCGAGAGGACGACGATCCTCCCAGACTTCAAGGTAAAGAGGAAGAGTCGACACGACGGAGCAGATCTGAAGCCACGTCTCTGCAGGAGGAGCCGTGCAGGGTGTATCTGCTGCTGCTGTGGCCTTTTGACCCACTCAGGGTGGGGGGTGGGGGTGCACGGGGCTCCTCACTGCTTTATTTATTCATTTTTTTACACATTTACTGATCCACTGTTGCTGTGCAAAAAATAATCCACAGTGTAAGCTCCTTATCTGCAGCAGAAAGAGAAGCAGCAGAGCAGATTATTTGAAATTTGCATTGAGATGAACCAACATTATTATACAGACTTTATATTAGAAACTATTATTACAGAAAGGTTTTCAGAAAATTAGTCGATTATAATTAATTACACGTTTCACGTATAAAACATCAGACATTTAATCACCTCCTGGAAAATTACATTTTAAATATAAATTGATG